TTGAGCACTTCCTTGCTTTCTGGCATAGTAAGGTGTCTAGGCTTATCTTGTACTTTCCTTGCCCCAGCGTAGACCCACCTATTTCTCCAATGAGCTAAGGTATTTAGAAACAAGATCTGATTTTCTTTAAAAATGCATATAATCCAGGGGCTGGCCCGGTGGCATAGTGGTTAAGTTCACGCGCTCCACTTCAGCGGCCCAGGGTTTGCAGGTTCGGATCCCAGGCACGGACCTACACACCGCTTATCAAGCCATGCCGTGGCAGGCATGCCACATATAAAATAGAGGAAGATGGGCACAGATGTTAGCTCAGTGCCCATCTTCCTCAGCAAAAAGAGGAGGATTGGCAATAGGTGTTACCTCAGGGCTAATCTTCCTCACCAAAAACAAAACAAATAAAGCATATAATCTGGAGAAAGTTAAAAATCATTAAGCATTTATTTAAGCTCCCCCATCCCCTAGCTTCTGCTAAAATATTCCCATGGAGGCACTGGGAGTTTAGAAGTTGGAAGGAAAAACCTAGTGAGAGAAAGAGGCCATCAAAAGTGAAGGTCTTTGGACTTTGGACTGGAGGAGGCACAGCAGTGCAAAAAGAGAAGTGAGATGATGCCAAACACCAATTTAGATTATGTTGGAATTCTGCCCAGGGAGTGACTAGACAGCCTGAGAAAATAATTACTGCTTGTTTTCCAGGTAGACTCTGAAAATTAGTTGCACTTTTTTATATCTGGTAATGCTAAGAGAGTGTATTCCCCTGAGCTATACATATGCTAATTCTTAGAGCAATTTAAGAAATATAGTCTCCATACTGAGAGTTCCTAAGTGCTCTATATTTTCAGGATCACTGTGAAGTATGTAGAGATGGATGTATCTTTCAGCATGTCTTCTTTTCAAAATCAAAATTCATAGTTTTTATTTTGAATACTCATAGTTGAATATATTATCTCAATTTACTTGCTGATTATAATATTTGGTTGCAGATTATTAAAGGTGCATATGTATAACATTTTAGGCAGCAACTTGTGAGATACAGAAGCCACAAATTTCACAGTTATTTTGCAAAGTAATCAGCATGCATTTGATAAAATGATAGAGTCTGTCATCTTGAACTTGAACTGACTGATTTTTCTGGAGCTTAGTATCTCCTTTGTGATCTCTTTTTATATACAATAGAATAATAAAATGTTCATTTGCCTTTTCTATGTTTTTTTTTTTTTTTGCAAGGAAGATTAGCCCTGAGCTAACATCCAATGCCAATCCTCCTCTTTTTGCTGAGGAAGATTGGCCCTGGGCTTACATCCGTGCCCATCTTCTTCTACTTTACGTGGGATGCCGCCACAGCATGGGTTGACAAGTGGTGCATTGGTGTGTGCCCGGATCCGAACCTTCGAACCCCAGGCCGCTGAAGCAGAGCGCACACGCTTAACCGCTACGCCACCGAGTTGCCCTCACCTTTTCTATTCTTTAAGACAAAACATGAAGCCAGTAGCTTTTGTTTCCATTTGAAAATGCTTAAAAGTACAAAAGCAAATTTGAAGCAGAAGTGTTTTATTTTTGTTTTTAATCAAAGTCAGCATTTTGAGAAGTAAAGAAACAAAACAAAAAAACAAAGACTACTACATCTATACTTTATACGGCAGGAATGTGGTTGTTATTCAGATGTATACACTGAATGTTACAGATGCTTTGTAATTTTATGAAACAAAATCACACACACACAAAACCACTGACTTTTAATCCTTAGTACATTCTTGAGAATGGAGGGTCACATTAAAGCAATTGCTCTACACCAGATAGTTACTGGGGGTTCGGTACACCAGTCAGGTTACACTGAAAATAAAGGGACACATCGTTTAATGTGCTGCTAGCCAGCATAGATGAGTGAACTCGGGTGTGTGGTGGCCTCATTGTCCCCAGTTGACTCCTGAGGACCTTCACCGTTCAGTTCTTATGTACCGTCAGTGATGGGATTAAACTAAGCGTCCTCATGACTAAGGAGTTACCATTTTTGGCAAATGGATTATTTTCAAAGTCAAGTTTCATTGCTGGAAAATTTTAATATAACTGAGTTCTTTTGGAGGTCATAAGGATCAATCTCTCTCTTCTTACTTTCTATTTAAAACTCCCCAAGTGAGCTGTTCATCCCTATGCTGAAATCCATTGCCCCTTGTCTTTCTTTAATATTGATCTTGTTTGAAAGGAGCTTTATCCAGAACGCGAATTCTTCATTCAAAAGGAAATTTCTTTCAGACATTAAGCCAGCTTATATACAATTATATAATTAAAAAAAATCTTCTTTCATCTGGATTTTACTAAATCCACTACTGTTTTAGGCAGTAAAAGCAAATTATATTTTGGCCTTTGTAATGGATTTGTATACTTTGAACATCCCTGATGGGACTGTATTTGCCCTTGAATTGTGAAATAGAAAATACTTTTCAGGGTTCAGTCATGTGACTGGATCTGTTAATCCTTGTGGAAGAAGCTTCTGGTGTCCTTGTTTCTGGGCTGCCCTTCATTCTATTGACTGGATTCACATGTGAAATTAAAGTGGGGATAAAAAGTGAATTTTCCAGTTAAATACCTTAGTCCTATTTTTATACAGCATATTGTTATTTTTAATTGTAAAAGTAGATGTGATTATTGTGGAAAATTTGGGTACTACGGGAAAATGCAAAGAAAGTAAGAATTATTCTACTCTAATTTCTCTTATCTCTAATTAGCAGCTATTCAAATGTTGACATTTTTTCTTTCTGGTTTCTTTTCTAGATATAGATACTTCTAAACAAAACTGGGACCATATTGAATGTATTGCATTATAGTCTGGATTCCCAATGAATACTGCTTAACGTTTTCCCATTTTATTAAATATTTTACAGATTTTAAAAAACTGTTTATCCATTGTTGGATATTTATATTTTTTAAATTGCCTAAAATGGTATTACTTTTATTAGAAAACTTCTTTGTACGTATCTTTATGCATATCTTGGACTTTTTTTTAGGATAAATTCAGGCTTTTTTCAATTTACTGGTTTCAAGAAGTGAAAAGTAATTCAATTCAGTTTGTCCTTTCCAGCAATTACGGTTAAGCCCTCTTGTCTGCAAGAATCTATCTTTATAACACCGTCATCTTGGTCTGTCCAGAATGGTGCAGTAACACCTCATTTATCTCACACCATTAGGGAACTTCTCATAAATAAATTTTTCACGTAACTGAAACTGACCCTTAAGTGTCCGTGCTTGGTAATTGTAAACATTGTGAATGAGAACCTTTCTAAAATTGTATTACATGTGTTGCTATCCCTTTTAACATAATGAAAAGATATGACAATCTCAATTTAACCCTTTCTGGTTTAAATCCCAAGCATCTTTATAAACACTCGTTATTGTACAGTCAGTTCTGCTAAAATACGATTTATGCATTTTTAAAAACCACCATGCTATGTAAAATCATGCAGTAAAACCCACAGTGCTTATGGGAGAAATAGGGTTAGGGACATGACACTCAAAAACCTTTATCAGTGACACACTAAAAAAATAAGATAAAAATTGTAGCACAATTTTACACATATTAGGTGGTTAAGAAAGAAAGAAATAGTACAATAAATACGGCACTTTACCTTGACAAAGTGCTGATGTGGACTGAGGCCTTGGAAGGGTTGCAGCTTGTGAGTTATTGAAATCAGAAGGGAAATTGGGGCACCCGATGTGGATGGGTGTGGCTCCTAGCACACCGGTGGAAACTGAGATCGCAGGTAGATGTTGGAGGCATGTGCATGCTGTGTATCCTTTTGCAGCTGGGTTCCCCCGGGTACAATCTTCTGGCATTACCTAGTGTTTCTCGCAGTGAAACCATGCATAAACAAACGTGAAATTAGAGTTATGCCCAAATCATTCCCTCATATATCAATCTTGGAACAAACACCAGCGTTATAGCAGAACTGAGTGTAGTGTGCGGTAATATGGTGATGTCGAGGGGATATTCTGCTTGTCTCTATCCTAAACAGAGTTAATACATGTAAAACACTTACAGAAGAATCTGGCATAAGAGTCAGCACTGTGTAAGTGTTGGCAGTAACAATGCCGGTAATAATAGATAATGCCTATTGATGTTTGTAGGATTCTGTCTGCTTTTCAGTTATGACTGCCTACTGTAGCAGTGCTTCCTGCCTCCTTTTAATTGACCTATTTCTCAATCTCTTGTGGCTTTTAAATGAGTTTATCATGCTTCTTAGAATTATCTGTAACTTAAGGCCCAGAATGGGGGAGGCTGAGGGGTACACAGACTTTAGGTTATGGTTTATCTGTACCATCTGTTTTACCTACTCAAACTTTTCTATCTTACGATTGAGTTATCACCTATATATTCATTTGTAGGGTTGTGGGGGAAGTAACTTGTGTTTTAAGTGATGTTATGATCATGCAGAATTTTCAGATTTTATGTTTTCTTAGAAAAAACTTAACATGGCGCTCTCTTCTCATTCCCACCTGCAGAAGTGAAGTGTGCTTAAATGAATACTTCTGAAGGGCGTTTAAAAGTTGTTGATGATTTTCTTTAAGTTGTTATTGTTCGCTTCTATTTACAACCACCCCTGTGTTTGTGAGATGAGCTCATCTTTGGAAGGTGGGGCAGGCAAGTGTGAATTCGGAAGACCTTCTCTCCCAAGTCACGGTATAATTAGAAGTCCAGATCCTTCTTCCGATGCTTTTTATGACTCTCTGAGAAGGACATTTTTACTGTGAACGGTTGCCAAGAAGCCTTGCTGGTTCCTGCTTTAGGAACTTTAATAAGATGACAGATCAAAATATAATCTAGATTTAGCAAGCCTTGTTAGTATTGTTGTGAGAGAAAAATAGCTAACGTAGCTCCTCATTTAGATATTCCAATGAAATCTGTATTTTAATTATGCAGAGAGCCTCTGAATAGCAATGGGGTGTTTTGGTTTTTAATTTCTAATCTGACTTTGAATTTTAACTTTTTGTCTCTATACAACTTCTAGATATATTTGGGCTGCCTGACCTCACTGAGTGATTGCTATTAATTAACAGACTTTGCGGGAAAAGGGGAGCTTGCCTCCTGAGCTTTGTACCAAAGACCTGGGAAAAGTAAGTAATTTTCTAACTTGCTTTTTTTAAATTCTGTTATATTTCTCTCAGAAAATTAACACTGGGTCAGTGGCTTTTCTACTTTCTTTCTTTCCTGGCTTAACTTTTATATGCTCTTATGGATTTGAAACACAAAAAAGGGACTCAGGAGACTTTTTTAAAAAACCTTCCAGGAGATTAGGATGGCTTTCACCATTATGCCATTTCTTTGGGGTTTCATAAACTGAGTCCTCAAGGTGGTGATAGAACCTTTTATCGGGTGTGCAGTAGATGAATTCATCTTTAAAGGTAAGGCAGTGTAATATGATGTGACAGAAAAAAGTGAGTCCAGTTTTCCGAGCTTCAAATGTTTTAGACTTCTAGATATTTTGGATAGGCTTTTGGTTCTGAATTTTTAGAACAAGAATGAAATCCATTTGGTTCTTTTCTTGTCTGGAAAGGAAATCAAAATGTGGAATCACTTGTTCAGTAAGTCCCTCATGTAGCCTGGTCTTGGAGGAATTGATGCACTGTCAGTTTTCTTGTTTTGTAACTTTTTTGAGGTACTCTAAGATATTCTAATTGAGACACCTGTATGAATAGTTTTACTGTATTTTAGAAAAAATTGCTTGGGGCCATGAAGTTCAATTTTATTTCCTGATCTTTTTGAAAAGGTAAAATGGGCCTTAAAGATAATAAAGTCAATTTACTTTTTTGTAGATACTACTTGGAAGTATGAATGGCCCATAAGAATGTAAGCCAAACAAAATGCACACACACATCTCCTTTCTGGCATGTTCCAGAAACAGTATCACTGATAATAGGAACTGTTTGTCCATGAAATTACTAGATAGTTTTCTAAACTTTGTGTGCCCTGTGTCTTACAACTCTTCTACTTTCTGACAGTACAAATGAGCTAGTTCAAACATGTCTAAAACAAATTAAGGCAGAAAAGAACTTTGCTCTAGAAATTTCATAGAAGCATTAAATAGTAAGATCAGATTTTATTGTTATATTGTATGTACTATAAATTTACTTATAATTAAATTGTGTATTATTTTGTAATAATTATAAGGTAGGGGTCTTTAATTATGAAGCCTGTTTGAAGTTAAATACCATATTTGTACTGAAAAAATATTACATACATACACACAGTATACACATACCACAAATATAATTTTTGAGGGCTGTGAAGTCTCTGCTAAAACGTAAATCCATTGAAAGCAAGGACGTTGAAAATTTTCTCCAAAAACAATTTTTTGTTAGAGCGAAATATTTGCAGTAGTGAAATACTATTGTCACTGGAATTTAAAAAATGATAGCAATTTATTTAGTTGAATTTTGTAGTCTTGTATTCACATATTAACCTTAAAATAAAGGAAATCCTATGTGGTGTAATTGTTATTCCATCTTGGAAGGATAATTGAAAGAGGATTATGTTGGAAGTCATCAATCTGTCCACAAAAGTGAAATGAAAAGGGCAAAAGATTAATTCTCTGGGCTTCAGGATCCAGATATTCACAGTCGTGTTTAGATTGGAAATGTGACTTAGTCCCAGAAAGTAAGCTACTTAAACTGCCTTTCAAATAATTTAGCATCTCTTTAAAATTTAATATAGTCTCTGGTGAAATCTTTTCCTTCCATTATACCAAAATATTCCCTTTGTGACATTGTTGTAAAAGTTATTTTTCCATTTTGTAGAGGCAAGGCATCTGTAGGACTTTTGAACACAATGATAAGCTGAAGGCAGCCCCTGTGTTACCAGAGGGACCATGGCAGAAAGATCCCTGTTCACTGAAGCTGATACCATAGGTGGATATTTATATGCACAGAGGGATGTTCACAATTCATCTTTAAGTTAAACAAAAATAAAGTTATAATGCATAAGTATGCTCCACATCAGTCTAGTCCTGAAGAACTAGTTATATGGAAGTCAACATTAAGGGAGAAGGGAGGGTGGGAGAGAAGGAGGGAAATCCTTTCTGAAATTTTCAGAAGTCAGGAGAGAATGTTTCTGACAGTATAGTCGCCCCTCCTTATCTGTGGGTTTGGCCCCTTTGAAACCCGCGAATAAGGAGGGCTGACTTTACCCGCAGTGCTACGTCATTTTATATAAGGCTCTTGAGCGGCGATGGGTTTTGGTATCCATGGGGGGTTCTTGGAACCCCCCCCCAGGAGATCGAGGGACGACTTTGAAAACTGTCGGGGGTACTTAAGTGTATTGGTGATTTCTTTTTGGAGTGGCAAATGCACAGTTTTAGGGAAAATTCAGAACCCTAAGCAACCTCCACATTTCTTTTTAACTTCCTTTTGTTCTCTCCCTTCATTTTTTTCTTAATCACAAATGTGTCTTCAAAGTCTTCCTTGTTTCAAGCATTTTATTTAATTATTTGAGGTAGTTTTCTAGAAACTTGAGTGTAATGTTGACAAAATGTAGATGCACCTGTGAAGGATTAGCCGTGGATTGTTTTAAAAAAAGTAAAAAATATGGGCCAGCCTGTAGCTTATCGGTTGAGTGCGCGCGCTCAGCTGCTGGTGGCCCGGGTTCGGATCCCGGGCGCGCACCAACACACCGCTTCTCCGGCCATGCTGAGGCCACGTCCCACATACAGCAACTAGAAGGATATGCAACTATGACATACAACTATCTACTGGGGCTTTGGGGGCAAAAAAAAGGAGGAGGATTGGCAATAGATGTTAGCTCGGAGCCAGTCTTCCTCAGCCAAAAGAGGAGGATTAGCACGGATGTTAGCTCAGGGCTGATCTTCCTCACACACACACACAAAAAAGAAGAAGTAAAAAATAGCTTCTCTTATATTATCCTATTTAAGGCATATATATATTTATTTTTATGTTAATACTAAAAGAGTAGTATATGCTACAAAGTGTTTGGTATTTTGTCTTTCCCACTTAACAATAAATAATGCATATCCAAGCTAATAAATATTTACCTACAATATCATTTTTAGTGAACAAGAAATAATTGGATTCTAGCTTTTTGTTTAATTTGAGGCTATCCTGGCTTTCAGTGAGAAAGGAGTATAAATAAATGAAATATGTGGTGTAGGTTTTTCAGTTGTGAGTAGAGAATAGAATAGAATTCACCTTCTATAATCTCTACTGTGTTTACTGTAACCAGACATGTTCTGAGTAGGAGACTTGCGGGACTAAATATGTTTTCAAAATTGTAAGTGTCACTGGCTACCAGGTACTGTGTATAAAGTGTTGTGTCTTTTTTGGTCCCTTTGTTATATTACAAGAGTGCGGGTGACATGTTCCTCCTGCTTAGCTGTCTTCATCAATATTTCTGTGCCCAAAGAAGGATTCTGCTTACATATTTCTCCCTCCCAAGAAACTCTGAATAACTCAGATGAGGTGGTGGGTACCGAAGGAGCATTTCATAGACTTTGGAATATAATTTATTGGAGCAAATTGAAATCCAGATTAATTGGAAGTGCAAAATGGTTTATAGACCTTTGCATGCTTTCTCAATTTGAAGTTCGTTTATTAAACCAGCATTTGTTGTGCAGCTACTGTGTGCCAGGTGCTGTGTTAGGAGCTCATTATTCAAAGATGAACGAGATATCCCCTTGCTTTCAAGGTACTTAATTTGAGTTTCAAATTCAGATTCAAATGACATTTATTCAGCAATACCATGTGACAAGCATTGGGCTAGATGTTCTTCAATAAGGTGTTTGATCACTAAAATTCAGTAGTGATATTTATTGACCCATCCCTTCCAAAATAAGTTATGCAAAGAATTTTCTTTTTTTTTTTTTAAGATTTTATTTATTTATTTTTTCCCCCAAAGCCCCAGTAGATAGTTGTATGTCATAGCTGCACATCCTAGTTGCTGTATGTGGGACGCGGCCTCAGCATGGCCGGAGAAGCGGTGTACCGGTGCGCGCCTGGGATCCGAACCCGGGCCGCCAGCAGCGGAGCGCGTGCACTTAACCGCTAAGCCATGGGGCCGGCCCAGAATTTTCTAATCTTTGTTTTTTTTCTTGATATTTTCCTAAACTTTTGGTACCTGCTGTGACTTGTTAAGTTCAATTAACAATGGAAAAAAAAAAGTTAATAATTAACAAGCACTTAATGGATAAACTTATAACAATGATTTTAAAAACGTGTGTATATTTATACACATATATATGTTTTATATTTGGGAACTTGTATACGTATAATATGGTCATGATTTCTCCTTGCAGAATAATTCTTAGTTTACATGATCCAGTGAAATATACTAAGATTTCTTGGTATTTGCCCCTCAGACTGGCTCCACTGTCTGAAGAAGTGTGGAAGCCATAGCATTAAGTCACTAGATTTTCATAGTAATTCTTGGAGTAAGATTATTGAAACTCAGTGGGGAAGGTAACCTGCCCACATTCACACAGCTAGAAAATGTCTTGAGTTAGGATCCTAATTCCGATCCATCTAAGTTGAAAGCCCATGTACTATGTTTCTGATTCCAGTGAGTAGGTGAGGAAGGTAGACTGAAAAATGCCGTGGGCCTGTGGAAGAAGGGGCAGTCATTTCCTGAGTCCTCAGCAAATGTGTCCGATGCATTGAAGAGCTGGCATTGAAGTAAGTGTTGAGGGCTGAGTTAGAAGACAGAGAGAAAAGAGGAGAGTGAGTGGGGCTGTAGGAAAAGCATGTGCCAAGGCACAGAGGAATGGAAGCTTATGGCATGTTCAGAGAGTGGCGAGAACTCCATTGTGGCTGGGATACGGGGCACGTTAGAGAGCAGAGTAAGCGCTGAGATTGAAAAGCCTTGATGCCAGAGTGAGGAGGGCCACGTGTGTGCCACGCTAGAGACTTGGGGTTTCTAAGCAATATATAGCCATAAAGGTTTTAAGGTAAATTTCATAATTAGATGGGAGTTTTACAAAGAACACTTGGGCAGCAGCATGGAATATAAACTGAAAGAGAAAACTGGAGACTGGAGACCCAGGGCCACCATGTGATGTTGTGCAGATTGTTCACTGCACAAAGGTATGTGTGAGTGGTGGGTGGAGGGGACC